AGTCCTAGGGTGACTACAAGGTGTACAGCAGATTTTACTCAGGAGGGTGTGAGTCCAGGTGTGGAATGCAGGCAGGTTCTTCAATATGTCCACTGGGTAGATTCCAGTGGGACCAAAAACTTTAGAACAAATTGCTACAGTCATGGCGATGCTGGGCATAGCAGGGTCGTTATCCGGATCTCCCAGGGTGGGAGCATATTTTGTAATGGTGTTAGTCCCGGAAGCTACCCCGTTGCTCACATAGGGTGCACGAGTGTAGCTCTGAGGCTAATGCCCCAAACTCCCACAGCTGCAGGATGCAGATTTGTCCTTTGTCCTACACATTGCCCTGGCTCTGCCTGTGGTGCTGGTAGTAGAAGAGAGGTGCCATGAGAGACTTTGCACTGCTTAGTATGGTACTCTGCAGGATTGGGGAGGGGGAGGGAGCAACGTGGCTTCCCTGTTCCATGCCCAGCCGTTGCTGAGACCCCAGTCACCTCTCCAGGCTGAACTCACAGTGGTTGACTGTGGAATTCTCTCTCAGCTAAAACTGAGCAGCAGGGCACTCAGAGATTTCTTCCTACCCTTGCGTGACAATGATGGCGGCTCATGGCCGGCAGCTGGCCACGCCACGTGGCTGGTGGCAGCGGAGTCTCTGTCTCCTCTTGTCCTGTGGGGTTTTCATCGTCTTATTTTTTCATTTTTTCGCTGACAATTTCTATCAGTCGGACCCCTGGAAACGTAGTCCCTCCTTTGTTCTTTTCATACCCCAGAACAGGTTAAGTTAGTGCGACTATACCTTATTCAGCCATCCTGAATCTCCCCCAGACCCCCTTTCAACAGCGCACAGAACTGACAGTGTCCCTCCCAGATGTCTATGTTAGAATGCATCCCTCAGTTTGAAAGGATTTTTCGGGTGTGACAGGCAGCCTGGGGGGCCCCATGTGGTCAGGAGGGTGGAGGGCAGAGAACGTGCTGTCCTGCAGGCTTTGAAGGGCAATGCGCAGATAGGAGCAGGAAGGCCCTGGCGGCCTCTGGGCGGGGAGGGGGTGTCTCCGGGGGTGCTATGGAAGGCCCCACCTAGCCCTGGGCAGCAGATTCATGTAGGTTGCAGTCACAGCAGCAATGACTGGAAGGCAGCCTCATCTGTGAAAAGGGAGGACTTGGACCTGTGATCCCCAAGGCCCTGTGGCTACAGGGATGGTAAGGCAGAACAGGGCCCAGGACCGCCTGCTGGTGTCTGAGGCCCCAGCCCTGGTACCCTAGGTGCTGACCTAGGGAGCTGAAATGCAAGTGATGTTTACTGGCAGCCTTGTAAAAGCCCATGACTCACTCTGACATAGGTTTGGTCAATGCGCATGTCAGACTTCAGGGAAATTTAATCAGCGGACAGCCACGCTTGCGTTCTCCTACAGACCAGGACTGCATGTCGCATTCCATCCCATTAGCCCTGACCCACAGCGTGGCTCACAGTCACCCGAGCTTGCTCACCGGCTGACTCATGGCACGCGGAGCTCAAACAGCAGGGCATGCAGCCTTTTGTTTCTGATCTCTAATCACCTTAGTGAACTCAGGGTGCTTGACTGCCTGTTGGTGTCTTTTTAAAGATTTATTTATTTGAAAGGCAGAGTTACAGAAAGAGAGGGAGAGATGTCTTCCATCCAGTGGTTCACTCCCTAAATGACTGCAACAGCCAGAGCTGAGCTGATCTGAAGCCAGGAGCTTCTTCCAGGTCTCCCACATGGGTGCAGGGCCCCAAGGACTTGGGCTATCTTCTGCTGCTTTCCCTGGCACATTAGCAGGGAGCTAGATCAGAAATGGAACAGCCAATACTTGAACTGGCACCCATATGGGATGCTGACACCACAGGTGGCGGCTTTACCCACTATGCCACAGTGCTATCCCCCTCTTGATGTCTTGAGTCCCAGTACATAGAGTTTGTTCTCCCAGGGTAAAGGACCCCAGGCAATGATGCCAGGAAGGGAGTGGACAGATGAGAGACTGGCCACCTGGTCGCTGTGTGCATCACAAGCTATCACTCCCACTTGGTGGAAACTGTCTTCCTTTGATACAGGGGGCCAGCAAATCATTTTAGATCCACAAGTGTTTCTTGATGAACTGCTGAACGTCAGGCTAGCCATGAGGGTATAAAGATGATGAGGATGCAGGGCCCACCTTGGTGGTCTGTGGGGGAAGGAGAAGCAGAAATTCCTGCTTGGGGGATGTCTCTGAAATTTTTAAAATTTATTTTTATTTATTTGAAAGGCGGGGTGGGGGGGGATAGACTGGTTCACTTAAACGCTACAGCAGCCAGGGCTGGGCCAGGCAGAAGCCAGGAGTCCAACTGGGACTCACATGTGGGTGGCAGAGGCCCAGGTGGTTGAGCCATCACTTGCTGCCTCTACAGGTGTGCATTAGCAGGTGGTTGAAATTGGAAGCAGAGCTGGGACTTGAACCCAGGCATTTGAATGTGGGATCCAGACATCTCTCAAGTCCTGAGCAGTTTTCCCACTGACGGGTGGAGCTAGTCCATGTTCTGTTGCTGTAACTGAGTGCCTGACACTGGGCAATCCACAGAGAAACATGTTTTCTGCAGTTCTGGAAGCCGGCAAGTCCAGGAGTGCGGTGCTGGAATCTGCTCAGCATCTGGGGAGGTCCTGCACAGGCGGATGGTGGCAGCCCGAGTCTCTTCTTTCCCTTGTAAGTCCAGTATCTTCCACCACAGGCCCCACGCCCGGGGCCTCCTCAGATCCTGGGCACTGCCCTCCCTCCCTAACACCAACACCGGGATGGGGAAGATGTTCACGCGGTGGCATGGAGCACTGTGGCATGTTCACGCTTGGTCTAGGAGCACTGGCGCTGAGAACTGGTAGTGACTGAGAGGGTGGCCCCAGAAAACTCTGCTGGAGGCTCACAGAGCAACTTGGAGGCTGCAGAGCGGGGCAGTCCGGGAGGTGTCTTCTGGTGGCCGGGCGGTGCGTGGTGGCAGGGCCGTGCAGCTGTCAGAGCCATCTCCAGAGGTGGGGGTGTTTCTGGATGTCTTTGCCTGGTAATAAGTCTAGTGGGTGTCACTTGAGGCTTGAGAAGCTCAGGGGATCCAGTAAGACCCACGAATGGGGGGGGGGCACCAGCAAGTCACAGAGGAGCGTGGGGCAGGGCTCCCACTGTGCAGCAGGTGCCCCAGGTCCTGCCTTTCGGGAGCATTCGGGGTGCCACCATGTAGCCATCAACTGCTGCATGCCCTGAGCTCTTGGGTTTGCTTTACATGGAGGAGCTGCCCTGCCCGGGCCTTCAGGGTCTCAGAGCAGCAGCAGCCAGACCCTGACCTGCACCGCAGGGAGCAGGCTCGGCTGGGCACAGTGTCTGACGTGAGGGATGCGGGAGGGGCAGCTCTGCCTGGGGGCTCTGCTGCCCACCCAAGGGGGCTGGCTGTGTCCCTGCAGAGAGAATCCTGGGAAGGTTCAAAGGCCAGTATCCAGAGATCATCTGTGACAGCCGGGGTGGGAGCTTAGGGGACTCTCTGGAGGCACAGGGCACTGGGCTGGGTTTTGAAAGAATCAGAAGTGCAGGCTGACGCCTGGGAGATCCCAGAACCCTCCTTTTTCTTGTGACCTGCACAGCAGCTACTTGCCTGTGAGGTGGCCCCGTGTCGTGGAGAGTTCAGAACCTGTTCCTCTGCAGTAAAACTGGTGACGGAGGTGCGGTGTCTACACACAACCTTCTCACATCTTGAAGACAGACAGACTTGAGTGCAGGCCACAGTCCCAGCTCCACATCTCCCACCTTGGTGGGCAGGCTCTAACTGTTCCTGGGCCTCCGTTTTTCCATTTAGAAAATAGCCCAAGTAATGTTTGTCTCAAACATTTTTATGGACCCTAAATGAAGACTGTATAAGGTTCCCAGCTCAGTCTCAAAGTTAGGGTCATGGTCAAGTGTCTGGGTCGATGACCCCAGTGTCTATGGTGTCTGGAGAACAGGCATGGTGTCATTTCTCTCTCACTTGTTGGCAGACCCTGGGAACAGTTGGCGTGGGTGGAGTCCATCAGGGATCCACAGCCCCTTCATCTTGTTCTGTCACCACTGGAAGAGGGACACGGAACTGTTGTCCCCCAGCTGGTTTGTGTCAGTAAAGTTTTATTGGAACAGAGCTGCTACACTGGGTGCAGCGGAATGGCAGCAAAACCAAATAGACTGCTCCTGGCTTTCCACTGTCCCTGTTTTTATTTCTCATTTCTAATGTCACTCAGTTCTCACCTGAGCTTGGAAAACTGCGGTGACATTTTGTAAACTTTGCCATGCTGGCTAGGCTCTCCACCATGGCTTCGGACACTGGGAACAGGTGGTTCCATGGCTGGGGCTATCCTGGGGCTGGCAGGGTGTACATCAGCTTCCTGTCCTCTGCCTGGAAGACACTCTGGCCGTGGATGCTGTCAAATGCCCAGGGTTGAGAACCACTGATTGGCCACGCTGTCCCCCGAGGTATCTCTGGTTTTCCTCTGCGACAGTGGTCTTTTCTTGATTCGACACAGCAGTGTTTTCAACTACACTTAACGTCTTGGCTGCGTGTCTGTCTCTAGATGTGAAGTAGCGGTTCCACCTGTATGTAATCCAGGAAAGCCGTTTCACTTCCTAGGGACGAGGAGGAGCTACAAGGGGTGACCCCGGTTCTTGTGCTCATGGCCAGGACACACCTGCCCTGAGGTCATGACTACATGGGACTCCAGACCTCAAGCCCCAGATGCACAGAACCCCCCAGACAGTTTGTTCCAATCTCCGATTTGTTAATCCCCCTCCAGAGATCCAGAGTTAGGGAGTGTAAGTGAACATTTTCCATGCTTACCCCAGGGGGTCTGGATTGCCAGGGACCCAGCAGACTTCAATTTATTTTTTTAAAAGATGAGCTGCTGCTTTTTTTTTTTAGATTTTTATTTATTTATTTGAGAGGTAGAGTTATAGACAGTAAGAGGGAGAGACAGAAAGAAAGGTCCTCCTTCCTTTGGTTCACTAACCAGATGGCCGCAATGGCCAAAGCTATGCTGATCCGAAGCCAGAAGCCAGGAGCCAGGAGCTTCCTCCTGGTCTCCCATGTGGGTGCAGGGGCCCAAGGACTTGGGCCATCCTCTATTGCTTTCCCAGGCCACAGCAGAGAGCTGGATTGGAAGAGGAGCAGCTGGGGCTAGAACCAGCGCCCATATGGGATGCTGGCACCACAGGCAGAGGATTAACCTACTGCACCATGGTGCTGGCCCAGACTTCAATTTAAAAACTGCTGTCTTAGGTTGAGGCTTCAGAAACCCTTAGAATAGAACCTACCAATTTTCATTTAAGTCATAGCCATCAGTCTTGAGTGAGGACTCACGCTTGGGGTTGGCTGCTGATTTTGTCACTTATCCCTGATGACATAGGTCTTGTTAGTGACAGCTGCGTCACCCAGGTTGAATAAGCAGCAAAGTATCATGAACTGTGTGACAACACGTCATGTCCCTGAGCATGTCCTCTGCGGGCTCTCCCGAGGCGGCAGCGCTCATGTTCCAGGCTGGAGCCAGACTCTGGCCTTGTGCTTCCTCCACCCTGAATTCTGCTAATTAGACCTCTTGCCCCGCCCTCCAGCAGAGACAAATGCAGGACCTTGGAACAGCGTACGAGGCCAGGCTGTCACACACGCCAGGGCCTGGGAAAGGATGTGGCATGGCCAGGTGCAGAGGTGTGTGCTGAGAGCAGTGCTGGAACGCGGGCGGTGCATTTCAGTGGATCGCAAGAGAAAGGTAGGTAAAACACGCGACTCCGCGGGTCGGCGTTGCACTCGCTGCTGAAACTCACTCTTGCAGGCCCCTCGGTGGTTGGGGCCAGCCAGGCACCCTTGACCCCGGTGAGGAGACATCTGACCTGCTGTCCCTGGGGGGACAGGATCTTGTTCCTCTCTGCAGCAGCCAGGGTCCGGATGTGCAGGGGGCACCTGTTGCTTGGACAGGCAAGGGCTGCTCCACGGGCCAGGCCTGAAGTAACGAGATGGGGAAGAAACGCGGCCCTTAACTTGTCCTGCTTCTCTTCCCGCCATTCCCCACGCACACCACCCTGTGACGAGCTCAAGGCAGCCATGCCATCCACACCTCTCCTGCTCTTGTGTTCTGGTCCAGCCCCCCTCTGGCTCCAGCTCACTTCTGCTCTCTTGTTTCTACACCCATACAGGCTTGCTTGCTTTCTTTTAAGAAACATTTTGATTTTTAAATTTATTTTAAGTTTTTTTTATTTAGATTTATTTCATTTGAAAGAGAGGTAGGGAGGCAGAGACAGAAGTCTTCCATCCACTTCGCTCCCCAGTAGTTCACAACAGCCAGAGTTGGGCCATGGTGAAGCCAGGAGGCAGGAAGTCCATCCCGGTCTCTCACGTGGGTTACAGGGTCTCGTGTACCTGAGCCACCATCTGCTGCCTCCCAGGGGTGCAGTAGCAGGAAGCTGGACCAGAAAAGGAGGAGCTGGGACTTGAACTCAGGCCCTCTGATATGGGATGCTGACATCCCAAGCAACGCCTTGACCACTGCACCATGAACAGCCCTGCGTGGTCTCTCTGCAGCAGCAGGTTCTGAGCCGAGTGCACACTGGGAGCTTTGTTAAAACACAGAGCCAGACACAGAAGAGCTCTCTGGACGTGAGATAGTGCCATCCAAGAGCCACACCTGCCCCAGGCTGCTTCTCTGTCCCTGCCCATTTTCCCGTTGCTGTTTTGCCCACAGCACCCCTGTCCTCCAACCCTGACCCCAGTGTCACCTCCTCCCAAGCTCCCTCCCACATCACTTCCTGTCTCTGGCTTTCATGGGGCTGCCAAGATGGGACAGTGAAGCAAGTAGTACACTTAGGGACATTAAATTTAGGGGGAGGAGCACAAAATAGCTTAGTGATAAAAATGAATCACAATTAAAGGAAAATTTGTTAAAATTCATGAAAAAATCCAGAGTGAGGAAATATCAACATCTGTAATCAGGCAGGACCTGACACAAACCTGCACGTCTCTGTGTGCCTGCCTGACGTCTGCTCCTTGGGGACTGAACTGATCCAGCCACGTGCCGCGCTGGCCTCTGGGCGGAACCCTTACCTGTCTTCATCTTTAAAGATGATTTCATGGACTCAGAGCACAGCTGGAGACGCTTTGTTGGAACATGGAATTCAGAGGCTCACGGCACAGCTTGAGCCTTACTAATTTGCTCCTTCAGCGGTTCTCTGCAAGTGCTTTGCGCCTATCTTAGACGTGGGCTCAGTTAGGAGCCCTGGATCCTGAGACACACATGAACACCTCCTTGTGTCCGCTGCGTGAACTCAGGTGGCCTGGCCACCACTGCTCAGTCTGTGGAGTTTGCTCTGCGCTGCACGGATGCCAGGTGGCGAGGCCAGGCTTCTTTTCTGCCCTACTGGGCACCCTCCCTGGGGTGCACGGGATCTCCTTGCATGGTCATGGGCTCTAATATCCTCAGTCAGCGTGGGCTTGGGGACAGTTATGAAGCAGTGACTGCCCAAGATGCATTAAACTTGCCACAACTCAGAGAAACCAGGCTGGGATGAGCTAACTGGGAAGGTGACAAGGGCAGGTGCACAGGTGAGAAAGATGTGACGAGGGCAGATGCCCAGTGGTGGCAGCAGACTAGTGGGGTTTGTGCCTGGCCTTCTCTCTGGCCACATGGGCAGAGGGGCAGAGGTGTGTTAGACGTCTGGAGATCTTTGCTCCTCACCTCCTCTAGCGTCCTGGGGCCCTGTGTTCCCCGTTGCTAAGCTGACCCCGCTGCATCCTGAACCACTTGCTCACATAGCACACTCCAGGCACACGGGTTTGTACCCACTCCACATTCACTTGGGGCCTGAGGACAGCTCAGGACGTTCCTTCTGTGCGTGCAGACATTGGCCAGTCCAGTTCACAGCCATGTGGCGGGGATGAGGTTCTCTGCCTGGATGTCTTCCATCTGTTTTCCACTCAGTGATGCCTTAAACTTTACAGCTTCCAGAAGAGTGATTCCAGGTCACTTGACCCCCACATGTGTCCATGTGCATGAAATGGCATTGTGGCTGGTGTCCAGCTGGAGCTTAATAAATCATAGTTCTAAATTGCACGTCAGGGAAGAAGGGCTGGTGATCATTTCACTTACGAATATGGAAGCTTTGCAGAGCCAGCACAGGGGGCAACCAGGCTGTCTCAGTGAAGCACTCAAGGGGCCGCGCAGATCAGACGAGAGCACCTGTCTTTGAATCGGTAGCTGGAGCCTATCTTAGCCCTGCTGCGGGGCCAACCTTACCAGGGCTGTAATGTTTGGCTCTTGGTTTCCTCAAGGGTTAGCAGGATCGACTGCCATGCAGGCTTCGAGCTCTTATGGCTGCAGCTCTGTAGCCCTCTGATTGCCCAGATTCACGGACAAAGGGACCTCCCTGGGAGACACTGCTTCATTGGAAGTCAGCAAATTGGGACGAATGTGCCCACAGTTCCCTCTGTAAGGGCCAGTTCTGCTGACTGACAGACAACCACCGTTCTTGTGGATCCAATAAACTGGGCAGTTTTCTGGAAGCAGCCATCCTTTGAGAGCCATGTTTAAGCTGTCCAGTGGGGAAAACAGGAACAACAGTCATCAGAAATGGTTGCTGTCGTGGTGAGACTGATGGCAGTCAAAGCTGAGCACTAGCGACAACACCATCTGCAAGAGTGGTGCCTGAAACAGGCATCTTTGCTGTTTAGGTTTCACGTCTTGTTCTTAAAAGAGTCAGTGACCTGTGAAAGAATCAGGTTTCTTCAGACATCAAAGAGAATGCCATGCTATTTGCAAAGAACAGACAAAGGGAAAATTAGATGAACAGTGACAGCGGTGAGCCTGCACGGTCCCTTCACTCCTTAGGGAGCTCATGCAGGTTGGCGGGAAGGCCCTGTTCTCTCTGCCTTGTCAGCTTCCCGGGCTGCCAGCCTGGCTGGGGACCTGGCTCAGTGGCACAGCAGTGGTCACATTACATGGAAAATCCCTCAAACAAGAGACAGATGGCTTGGGGCGGAATGAAATCAGAGGCTTCATAGTGCATCCCAGGGTTCCTTCTCCCGAGATTACCAGCCTCGTTCCTAAATGAGTCTAAACCTTTGACCTCACCCATGTCCCTTCTTTTAAAAAGAGCCCATGGTCCATTGTCCCCTCTTAATCTCGTGCCTGTGCCTCGGACCATCCTCCAGAAACTTGGAGCTATGGCCAGAAACCAGAAGTGTCACACGCCACCCTGATGTGTCTGCACACATACATACACATGTACACGTATGCACATGAACATGTGTACACACATACGCACACACATGCACACTCCTGGGACCGCCAGCTCCTCACCTCTGGGTGGACTCTGGGGAGCAGGACACTGACTTTCTCCACCGCCGGAGATGGCCGTTCCCAAGTCTGAGTGGGCCCGCAGTTCAGATGGCACCGCTGAGCCCAGAGCGTCTGTGAACATCTGAGGTTGGGTAGAGGGATTGACTGCTGAGGGGCACACAGAAATCTTGTCCCAAACGTGGCCTCCAGCATGCATGGTTGAATCTTTTATCTCCTTTCCCATACGATGGACCCAGGGGTCTGTGGGACACAGTTGGGTCCACTGGCCACGGAACACGCTGTTAGAACGAGGGCTCAGCACTCCCCCCGCCCCCAGGGCCTCCAGGCACCCAGGAGAGGAGGGCACTGTGGATGTTTTTGTTTTTCACTTTGCACTGGCAGCCCCTGCTCTGAGATGAAGGGAAGGTGTGTGTGGTGAGGTAGGAAGTGTGTGTGGTGAGACAGGGGTGTGTGTACAGTGTGCACGGTGTGGTCCCGCTGTCTGCTGCCCCTCCTGCCACCTGTCTGGTCCCTGTCTTTCTCCCTCCTCTCACCGCCCAGGTGAGACTCTTGCCCTGAGCTTGGGTGTCCCTGCCTATCTGTTGGGCATCTTGACCCAGGGGATCCAGGTGTCCCTTGGCAGCGCAGCTTCCCTCACACCCACACTGCAGTTCTCCATTGCTCTGGCTGCCCTCATCTCTGGCCGTGCCTTACTCCTCCTCTCTGCTTCAGGCCAGTGTCCCAAAGGAGGCCTCTTCACGTCCAGCTGTGGCCCCTCAATTCCACCTCCAGGAGGGGATGACCGCTAGTGTCTTGGCTTGTTCTTCCAGCCTTTTCAAAACAATGAATATATTAAATAACTAGAATGCATATATGTAATCTTAATCTTCATTTCTGTTGGAAATGCAGAGAGACAGAGACAGATCGCCCATCTGTAGGTTCACTCCCCCAGTGCCACAATAGCCAAGACTGAGCCAGGCTGAAGCCAGGGGTGTCCTGTGGGGGTGACAGGAACCTAAGTATTTCAGCCATCATCTGCCTCCCAGCATGTGATCAGCAGGAAGCTGGATCAGAAGCAGAGCAGCCAGGACTGAAACTCAGGCTCTTCAATATGGCATGCACTCATCCCAAGCAGTGACTTTACTGTGGCACCAATGCTCGCCCCTATACACATATTTCCTGTAGACTGGGGTTACACCAGAAACTGCTCTGTAGATGGTTTTCACTGAAGATACCGTGAAGACCTCGCAGTCATTTCAGCCCACCCGTGGTTCTGAACTGTGACAACAGCTGAGGACTTTTCAGCTTGTCCTCCATTGAGCGGAGAGCGCAAGGCCTTTTTGTCCTTTCCAGGTAATGACCTAGAATCCCATGGAGGAGTGTCTGCTGCCTGGCCTGTCTGTTCCCTGGGTGTGGAGAGGCCCTCCGTGGATGGCGGTGGT